ATAATATTGTTAAAATACAAATCAATGGATGATCCATACACTAAGTTCGACTGTATGTTTTGATCAACATATCGTCTTAACAGCACCAAAGAAAAAAATCAATATGCGATCAATATAACGCCACTCAATATAGGGTTGCTATTCAATTGGAGTTTAATCAAACTCAATTACACTACAATTCACCATGGAATGCAATTATATTCATATTAATATAAACTGTACCATACATTACCCGTGTACTAACCCTAAGCTACGCAAAACAATGGATGTTGTTTTTCTTGGTACTGTGCTTTGATGTAAATTAGAGTTTTCGGTTAATGCATGAACGACGGTATTTCATACAAATGGGCCAGGGTACCCAGAGCGCTCAAGAATGTCTATTCACACTTTATGATCACTGAGTGTTTAGCTCCAAGAAGCTGCAAGACTAATGGTTTAAACAGAATATCAGATTCGTTAACCTAATATATTGTATTTATTAAACATGTGTAATATTCATTCAAGTGTCATGAATTTGTTTTCGCGTATCTCTTGACCGACTTAATTAGTTGATTATTAGCTGAATTGCTGTGTTATGTCTGTCGTCTAGGCCTAATTGAAGTTTTGGACGGAACTTGGCTCAGTGATTTGGAACTAATTACCAGATAACCGTCGAGATTCTGACAGTTGGTATTCCATAGTTATTAATGTAGTGAACGATTAATCAAAAGATATGACGTATTCAGTACTTAGTGTGATTAGCTTTATGATTGAAGGTTACGCCCTAGAGTTTTTTACTGTTTTGTAATTGGTCAGAGTTTTGAAAATGAATAAAGAGAGTTTGAGTTGGTCTTGGCGAATACTCCACGACAGACGCAGACGAGAGTCCAGTCCAGGGGAGAGCCTTGAGGCAGTCCAGTCTTGGGCGAGTCTTGGTTCAGCCTTGTGAGAGTCTTGGGGACTTTTCCCCAGGGCGCTGTGTCTTATAGAGTGCTCCAAAAGATCGACTAAGACGAGAGCTGAAACGTATTTCGTTGTGTGTGTCTTATTTGACTGTAAAGTATAAGTGACTTTCCCGATCCTGTACCTCAAGGGGACGCGATAGAGAGACGAGACGAGATTCCCCCCTGGCAAGTGTGGAGAACCCCAGAGAGAAGAGATTTATTCCCCCTGATACAAGACTCGAAATTGCTTCGTTTTAAAGTTTTCATATTGGAGGGTTACTCATAAATGAAATCTCTCTAGTGCTAGCGGACATTTTAAATTGATAGCAGCTATCATTTCACAGGGAGATTAAATACCAGACAAACATCACTTGATTGTCTTAGTTGACTATTTGGCTATACACAGTTGTCATCGGCTGAACTATCTTGCCATCTAAGCAGTTTTAATTATTTTTTTGAGAAGCCCTCCCCCCCCCGGGTGCAGTGAAAGGTGAACAGACTAACCGGACTTACTAAGCTACAAGAATCAATGAATAAAACACTTACCAGACACGAAATACAAAAAACAGCCCCGCAATTCATCCTTCAGGCGTGGTGTAAATTTCCAGACGTCGTTACTCAGCTTGATTTCGTTCGTACATCGACCTATTGACTCCAAGGAATGAGGTCACTAGTGTATGGTTGACAGCAGTATACTACTACTATAACGATATCTACAGTTATCAATACATTTACATTAAAAAGAAACCTACCTTTAAGTTAAAAATACGGATATTCTACAAATATTAAGATATTCACAGTCTTTGTATAACAAGCTACTAACAGTTGTGCTATGTTGCGTTTTACAACCACGGTTAAAGACATATATCTACATTACACTTAATACGACAACTCGAGTTAAATGAACTGCTATAAAGGCAACACGTCGGTGATCGGAAATAAAAATCGACATACAGATAAAAACACACACATCGTCTAAAGCGATGGCACTGTTTCCTTGACGCCCTTTGGTGTCAAGAAACGGCTATCGACATAGACATTTAAATAAGAGGATGGAGTTAGGACGTTACAACATACATACATTACCTGATACCTCAAAGAAACTGAAAATATGTTACATGTATAGTGTGTCATTATGAATATAGTAAAAAATATGTTGTTATGAAGATATTTCCTCCGAACTTGGACAGAATGTGTAGTTTTGAAACACAGTCTGAGAAACAAAAACAAGTCTCGTGGCTGTCATCAAGACAAAATTGGTCACATATCGCATGACAATGTTCATTTGTTTATTATGTATAATCATGAAGCTAATGTTCCATGGTATAATGAAATAGCATTATTTTGTGTGTTACAGTTAAGCTTTTTGAGAAACGTGTCCTAATATTTTTTGAAAATCGCTATTTTTAGAATAATTCCATAGTGACCCACAATGTTAAAGAAAAATTGCATTTTCTGACACTTTTTAAACCCCAGATTTTTTAAATAATTCAGAACAAGAAAAAGTACTCCATTATTACCAAAATATGATTTTTTCAGTCAATGTCACCAGGTTAGATTTTGAGATATTGCATAATATCTCTCCCATAGGAATCTATAGTAAAGCATTATATATTAGTGCCAAAATGGCGACTTTCCACTAAAATGCAAACATCAATTTATCGAAATTAAGAACCCCAACTTTTTTTAAAGTCAATATTCTTATATTGCCTTAGAGGACAATTTACAACAGAATGAATAAATTCTGGGTATCTGAATTTATGAATAGGCTTCAATAAACACCATTTGTCCTTGACCTTCTTTATAATTCATTGATTCTCTTACACATATATAACCTTGAAGTTTGGGGAAATATCTACCACATAACTCCTACCAGAATGCAACATAATACAATTGTCCACATTATTTTATTATCAAAGACAAATATACTCGTAGTAGTTCCTTATATTCTTGAGGTTTATAGTCAAGTAAAATATCAAAACAGACTCCTGTGGAATATTTTCTAAGCATTCATATTCCACCAGATGATCTACCAACTCAAACATCTCTATCCTTCCTTCCCAATTTGGCCACTTACCCTAAGTGTACAATAGAACAAAATGGCAGAATGACCTGCCCCAGTCTGTAAAATCCATACCCAGTGGAATCATATTTAGAAAACATATTTAGCCGTAAGTAGCCTGTATTTCAGTGCGAGGTAGAGGTCTTTACCACAAATAACGTATTCTTAATTTCGTCGGATTAACACCAAATTTGCAAAGCTTTAAGGTGATATTGAAAGGACAGTAAATGCTTCCAGGAAAACTATTTCAAATATTTTTATTCAACGTGTGATAGGTGGGGGTAATGTGACTAAAATGAATCTTGAGATTCAGCACGTTACTTTTTAAAACGTGGCGCACGGGTACAATTGCTGGGA